AAGCGCGGCTGCTGTGGCTCTGCCCCCGCTGCGCCGTCCCCAGCCAAACCTTTCCTCCCCGCCTTTCTCTTCAGTGCACGGTGGTGTCTGATCCTTGGGATCCGGGACGCTCTGTTCCAAGGAGATTCCCCCGCAGGGCAGGTCGGGTTGGTGACTCGGGATTTCAGAGCTCAGCTTCTCAGAAGCAGATTCTTGTATCGGCTCAAGCTTGAATTTCCCACTCCTGGATCTTCCAACAAGGCTGGGCTGTTTTCAGGGTAGGTGATGTGGTCGCACAACGGTGGTGTCTGATCCTTGGGATCCGGGACGCTCTGTTCCAAGGAGATTCCCCCGCAGGGCAGGTCGGGTTGGTGACTCGGGATTTCAGAGCTCAGCTTCTCAGAAGCAGATTCTTGTATCGGCTCAAGCTTGAATTTCCCACTCCTGGATCTTCCAACAAGGCTGGGCTGTTTTCAGGGTAGGTGATGTGGTCGCACAGGCCGTGGCGGTCTCTCGATTTGCTTTGTGTTTTTCCCCAGGTTTGTTGGTGAAAGCACCCATGGAAATGGAGAGCAGGAGCACTGAGAAGTTTTATAGGATCCCCAAAGGGAAGGGACCGCACTCGGTCGGATGTACAGACCTGATGACAGAAAATGCAGTTGAGGTAAAGTTCTTGGTTCTTCCTCCTTTGCATTTAAGCCACAATGTTAGTGAAACTCCAGCTTGCTGGAGTTTTACAGATAAATCGAACAGGAGGTCTTGTCTGTGTGCAGGGATGCTCCACGGCTGACACTCGCAGCTGAGCTTTCTCTCCATCCCAATGTAGGATGTGTTCTGGGCACAGTTCAGGAAATATCAGGTGTCTCCAGGAACTGGTTCAATTTACCAGATGAATGTAACCTTCAGGCCTTCCCCATGGCTACTTCCTCCCTCATCCTTACCTTCCCGATTCCCCTACACAAAGATCTGGCAGAGAAACCGTGTCCTCCTGGCACCCACGGGGTTCCTCCCGTCCAACCTCCCGCTCCCTTCTGCCCTGGGCTCTCCGGGGAGACTCCCCACACAGTCTCCATGACTGTAACTGTTCTCATCACAGAGATGCCAATGGGATTTGGCAGGGTTGGGTGATGAGGGTGTGTAGTGTTTCAGCTGCAGGGTAAAGCACGAGATGTCTTCTCAAAATTTTATCTATCTGAAAAAAAAACCCCAGGATGTCAGTTTTGCAAGTGGTTAGGACAGAGAGACGCCGCGATAAGAAGATGGGGGCAGTAAATAGCCAGCTAATGAGCACGCTTACGGGTTTCCATTTCAAATCCTCTTGCTTTTTAGTTTTCCTGTGAGAATACGCCTGCGTTTGCAGGGTGGTCTTACTCTTCAGGCTAGCCAGGTATAGTGGAACTTGTGATCAGTTTGTAGTGGTTATTCATGTTTTCCTTTACTCTGCTGGGCTTACTCTATGTTAGCACAAAGCAGCGATCCGGTTCTCTTTGCAGTCAGCCCCTGTGTTTTTCTAGATAAGCAATCTATGATTATCTAGATAA